TCTTCAAATTGTGGTAATTTATACTTGTTTCCTTTATCACACACAATTTTTTTTTTTTTCCTCTAGTTGAGTTCTAGAGTCCTGGTGTAGCACTGTGGGTTCATTCACCAGACTGAAAAGCCATTTGAACTGCAAGGTTGGCAGGTCAAGCTCACCAGCTGCTCCTTGGAAACCCTCTACAGGGTCACTATGGGTCGGAACTGACTTCGATTGCACTCCACAATGACAACAAGTCGAGTTCTGAAAGAGCTCTGGTAGTGTAGTGGTTACGAATCGGGGTGCTAACCTCAAGGTCAGCAGAATGTGGAACCCTATGCAGCGAAGCAGCAACACCAGAGATGGAGGCGGAGATGAAGACATGGAGAAAGAGCAGCTGAGGACTCAAGATTCATGGAAATAGAAAGGCTGTTTGCTGGCAGGCAGGAGACAGGCTTGCATAATGTGCCACCGATTGGTTGTTTAAGTTATTATATATTCCTGAGTGTTTTTGTGTACATTCCTCCGCCCTCCTCCCCCCCCAAAAAAAAACCAGAGGGAATAGAAGCAAATACCATTGAATGATGATAAACAGAGAGATTGTAATCATTACAATTAAACGATAGATGTAAAACTGAGATTCTCCCATGTAAACTATCACTCAATTCACAATAAAAACAAAATATATATTACAGGAAGCACAGCAACACAAGACACAACAGTTGACAAACTGACAGATGAGTAGTTTTTATAAATTTATAAATTTATAGTTGCCTCTATTTAGAGCTTATGTATATTATTTGAGATATGTACAGCTACTAAGTTGACAAGGGGTGGTCTGTAATAATAGTTCAGGCTTTTTGGCAACTTAATTGGACCAGGATTGTCAGTCGTTTGGAAGTTATGATATAATCATTTTCAATGATGAGATCTAATACAATGTAGTCAACTCCATGATGAGATCTGCTGTGAGCAGCCAACTAGTTGTAAGGAACTTTCCTTATGTGGGGGTTGGGGTAGGGAGGGGGGCGTGGCCTGCTTCCAGTATAGTAAACAGTATGGCAAAGTTTGCTTGCTTTCTGCTGCATCTGCCTCATCATCCAACCTCCAGTCCTTTGCACTTGAACCAGTGGCCTTCTTTATTGCCTGCCCATTATGGGAGTTGTCAGCAGCCTGCCATCTTACCTGCCTGCCTGCTGCCTAATTTACCAGTCTTAGTTCATCTGACACATGGACTTGCAACTTGCCCTCCTGTATGTATGGTTTCTTTAACAAAGTTCAACATGAGGCTGGGCACTGTGAGGTGGAGGTTAAAGCTATCCCAGTTCTCCAACTTTTCCAACCTGTTATGCCACTCCATAATCCTTGATATTAATCACCACTCCCTCACATCCCTGGGTTCTGCAAAATGCTGCAATGTCTCACAAAACACAACTCTACTTTGAGGATGGAGATCTATCACAGCCATGCAATTGTGAAGGCTAGGAAATACCAGATCTGTAATTCAGAGATCAGTCTGTAGGAATATTCTCACCCACACAGTCTCAGGCGCTGAGGAACCCAAGTCAGCAGGTCACACAACAGACTATTGATACATGAAGCTTCAGGAGCTGGTGAATCCATTCAAGTGATAGGCCCAAAGTCCCACAAAGTAGAGGTCAGACGTGTTGAGAATCAGAGCAAGAGAGCTAACTTTGCCAAAGCAGTCCTATAAATTGGACTCAGACCACACCCCAAGAAAAACTAAGTTACACCATCTAGTAAGGTGGGGACATCCTTAATCCTTAAGATCCCCTTTAACCCTTATCTTAACTCCATCTTAATCCATAGTCCCTCTTTAAATGTGATTCATTAGTAATTTACTTCAACATGGGTTCATAATCATAGGCATGGAAATTAGGATTTATAGTACATCACATGATGGAACAATATGGCTAGGGCTAGAGGGTCAT